CACACAGGCGCTTCCACAAAGGCAGGGGGCGGCGGTGATTCGCCGTAGGCGTCTTCGACAAAGTGCGTCAGCCCCGGCGCAGGGCGGGAAGGTGCGAGCACGGCTGGCACGCAGCACGTCACGGGGTGTGCGCCCGGGCGACCAGCGGCCCAGCGGAGGGCGGGCCCGCGAGTGGGCGAGATGGCAGCCGAGCCACGCCGCCAAGAAGACCTCCAGCAAGCTGTGCTGCACACGTGTTCGCCATCAGCACCTTCTGGGCGCGCTGGAGCAGTCGGGAAGACGCCTGCAAATACTCAAATATTGGGGGTTATCCGTCGGAACGTCTCGCTGCATGCCGATGCTGCTGGAGTGTCCAGGGCGACGGCACCTTTGGCGGTGCCCAGGCAACTTCAGAAGCCCCTGAGGTTAGGATCCAGAGTCCTGCCCCATCGCGGTTCCCCGCGTGCCTGGTGTGACAGCGCACGAGGGGTTGGATTTCAAGCAAAGAGGTCCAGCTCAAGGGATGGCGGAGACGGAGGCCTGAACCTGGTCAAGCCCATGGCTAAGCGTGGGCCGAAGAGGCAAGCAAGGATGCAAGGATACCCTTAGAGCGCTGCTCACCATAACGGTCCGGCTTGATTGTGCACCGAAGCTGCCATGTAATCTCACAACGTAAATGACGTCAGGTAACCGACATAACGACGACCCCTCCCCAAGACGTGTCTGAGTATATGCCTTATCGCCCTAATACATCTCCTCACCATCACAACTACCATGGAAATCACGAGCTTCGCAATATCAAGATTCCTCATCATCATAATCAGCACAATCACCACCATGATCATCATCATAATGAACATCAGCATTAACAGCATCACCATCATCACCACACTCACAGTCCTCATCGCCAACAGCATCCTCAACATCATCCTGGCCACCGTCGTCGTCGACGTCATCATCACCATCGCCATCGCAATCGACATCATCATCATCATCATCATCATCATCATCATCATCATCAGCATCATCATCATCATCATCATCATCATCAGCATCAGCATCACCACCATCAGCATCAGCATAGTCATCGTCAGCATCATCAGCAGCATCTTCGTCATTATCATCCATATCATGATCCCAAAGAAAAGCATCCTATCAAGGTCATGTTAGGGCTACAGGGCTGTGGGGCTATTGGGTTATGAGGGCAATGAGGCTAGGGGGCTGTAGGGCCATGGGGCTATCGGGCAGTAGGGCTATAGGGCGTTCGGGCCATAGGGCAACAGGGCTGTAATAGGGCTATGGGGCTCTGGGGCTACATAACTTTAGGGCCATAGGGCGATGGGTCTGTAGGGCGAGGTATAGGGCTCTAGGGCGACAGGGCTATAGGGCTAAAAGGCTATAAAGCTATAGGGCTATGGGGCTATAGGGCTATTGGGCTATAGTGCTATGGGGCTATTTGACTATGGGGCTATAGAGCTACAGAGCAAAAGAGGTTGTATGGCTATAGGGCTACAGGGCTATAGTGCCATAAGGCCATAGGGATGCAGATCGACATGGCTGTAAGGCTATAGGGTTATAAAGCACCCGGGCACCCGGGCGGGCCGCGGAAATCGGTGGCACACCTCACCTAACCGTATGAATCCGCTAAGACCCCGACAGAGGCAAGCCCTGATTGGGGAATCATCACCATCGTCGTCAGCCAAATAACTATCACCACCATCCTCACAATCATCATCACCAGCATCGTCGCCATCGTTATGAATGTCGGTACATCGTAACCATCACTCAAGACGCTGCTCCGCTGGGCCTCACAGGAAGCCCCCCGAAATTGGCGACGGTTGCGCAGCTGGCACCTCCCCAGGGGGCCGCGAAGAAGGAAGTCGCGTAAGCAGTGCTCATTCCAAAGGAAAGTCTAACCAGATGAGGGACGGGAACCAGCAGAACAAATGAGCCCAGCACGATCCAAAATTGAGATGTGCTGTCGAATGATGGCGCGCATACGTAAAGTAACGGTGAGTGATGCAATCAAGACCATATAACGGTAACATGTCATGGTACAACACTGCGTGTCATCGCACGGCACCGCATAACATCGCAAGTCATGGCATAGCAGTGGCATCATGGCAGTACAACACAGATGAAACGACAAGGCACATCACGCTATTTTAACTCACATACAAAACGGCTAGTGTATAGCGCAGCGTGGTATGGCATAGCATCGTTCACCATTGCGTACCATTACAAAGTGTTACATTGCATACGTAGCATGCCATAACGGATGATAGTTTGACATTTCAGACTATATGTGAAGCATCGCATAGCACAGCAGCCCGTCCCACTGAATCGCATGACATTCAATAGCAGAGCAACGCAACGCATTGCACAACCCATGACGTTAATGTGCAAAGCAAGACATCGTATACCATTGCCTTGCATGAAAGGGCATAAACATCGCGCAGCATTGCGTCAAACCGGATATCATAGCATGACCTAGCGAGGCTTGGCTTGGCACTAAACACTTCCACTATACAATACGGTACAGTGTTGCCAGGCGTTGAACATGTCGTCGCGCTGCAAAGAAAAACCAGCACACAAGCAAGGTAACGAAACGCAGAGCAAGCACAGCATAGCAACGCCAACAGAGGCAGCACGAAACAAACACAGGCAACGCAAGGGCACAAGGCAAACAGCGAACCCAGGGCACACCAGGGAAACCACAGGCCATCCCGTGGAACCCCTGGGGACATAAAAATTTTAAAAAAAACAAAACAAAAAGGCATAACACACACACAAAAACAAAAGGAAACCCAGAAACAAAAACTTCAAAAAACTTTTTTTTGTTTTTTTAAAAAAACTTTATATTATATATATATATATATATATATATATATATATATATATTATATATAAAAAAAAAAAAAAAAAAAAAAAAAAAAAAAAAAAAAAAAAAAAAAAAAAAAAAAAAAAAATCGACGAAACCAGCGGCAGAGAGCGGAGCGGCGGTCACGGAGGGAGGGGGGGGAGGGGACGGGGAGGGGGGAGGGAGGGATGGGGGAGGGGACGGGGAGGGGGGAGGGACGGAGAGGGGGGAGGACGGGGAGGGGAGGGGAGTGGAGGGGAGGGAGGGGGAGGGGAAGGAGGGGGGAGGGGAGGGGGAGGGGGCAAGCTAGGTGCGCTCGCGTCATATCTGACGTCCTACCCCTCCCTCCCATCCCTTACCATGGCGCTGATTTTCTCTATCCGCGGACGCGTGTCGTAGCGGACCTGTGGCTCCGCGCGCGCGTGCGTAGTGGGTGGTGGTGCACGTGCGTGCGTGCGTGCGTGTGTGCGTGGTTGTCGTGGTGGGGGTGGTGGTGGTGGTGGTGGTGGTGGTGGTGGTGGTGGTGGTGGTGGTGGTGGTGGTGGTGGTGGTGGTGGTGGTGGTGGTGGTGGTGGTGGTGGTGGTGGTGGTGGTGGTGGTGGTGGTGTGGTGGTGCTGGTGGTGGTGGTGGTGGTGGTGGTGGTGGTGGTGGTGGTGGTGGTGGCGGTGCGGCGCGGTGGTGGCGGGCGGATGGGCGCGCGAGAAAAAGGCCCGCGCTGGGGCGAGAACGCCATCCTGAACGACGGAGGCCAAACACCGATCCGAAAATGAGGCCCACGCTGCAGCGGGAGCACGATTCGGAACGATTCGGGAGCAGAAATGAGGCCGGCGCCTCAACGAGAGCAGCATTTTGGGAAAAAATGATGCCGGCGCCTCAGCGAGAGTCGTTTCCCGGGATTTCCCGGGCATCCTGTGTGTAAAAAACAGTACGCGGAGGGTGCGCGGCCATCACCCGGACGCCATCAGGGGAAGAGGGAGAGTATTTTCATATTGAGTAATTGTGGAGGGACGGGGAGGGGAGGGGGCGGGGAGGGGGGAGGGAAGGAGGGGGGAGGGAGCAGGAGGAGCGGGACGGGGGGCCGACACAATCAGCACTGACCCTCTTGCACAGAAGCTGCGCGACCATGCGATGCGAAGCCAAATCTAGGAACACTCCACCACCATGCCCTGGGGCATGTTGAGTCGCGATGGAAGGCAGAGTGCTGGCTAGAAGAGTTTGTACAGTCTTACGACGGGGCCCTCAAATGTCGCAGTGAGCCCTCATATGGCCCCCCTCCCCAGCTACTGGGGACGCCTCGACGGTTCCCCGGTGCTCTCCAAAGCATTCACAATGCCCAAGACGACTTCCAAGACGGCCAAGGAAGGCTAACAAGACCGCCAAGACGGCCCAAGATCGCCCAACTGGTACCGAGAGGACTCCAATTGGCCGCGAGACACCCACGGGACGCTCTTCAGAACCTTCGAGAGGCCAACAACATATTGATTCTGCTTTGGTGTCTCAACGTTCTTCGCTTTCCACGCTCTCGGGTCCAAGATCTGCCCACATGCGGTCTTCGAAAACCCTGTATGGCCCATTCAGAGCCCCAAAAAGGCAAGAGCGCCGCTAGACGGCCCCGTGCAAGCCCAAGTTCCGGAGGGGCCCAAGACGGCTTAAGCTGACCCCGAGACGGCCCCAAGACGGCTCCATGACGGCCCTAAGAGATCCCCCAGATGACCAAGAGGGCACCACAAATTGCCCAAGAGAGCCCCAAGACTACAGGGCCCAAAAGTATACACCACCACCACCTCACTCATCCCCTCCCTCTCCCAGGAAGGGGGAGGGGATGATGAGGGTGGAGAAGGGAGGACGAATCGACGTGGTGGTGGTGTCTATTCTTGGGGCTCGCAAAGACGGCCTAAGACCTGTGTCCACGAAAAACAAGCGACGCCAGTGCTGAGCCATGCGCAGATCAAGTCCGTCCCGCCCCGCCTGGAGCTATGCCGCGCCCGCCGCCGTCCCTGAGGGGCACTGGTGGGAGGGGCTAGGCACAATGGGGGGAAACGTCGACCTGAAATCGGCGATACATCGCAGATAAATCGGCGATTGGCCCGATCAGCATGACTCCGCACGCTCCCCATGGCGATGGGGAGGGATAGGACGCCAACGAATACGACATCTTCATTCCGCCGCGCTCGCATTGACAGATCACGTGGGTAATCAACGTAACTCCTAACAAGTACAGCGCGCAGGCGAATCTGCACAGGTGTTTGCAAAGGCGCCCCCCTGAACAATGGCAACCGATGAGCTATTGCAAGCCAGGCGCCACCTACGATCAAGGCGTGGCAAAACAAATGAAAAAAAAAAACGGGCCATCTCAGCAACATACGCCCGAGGAACTACAGCTGCATTTGAGGCAGCTTGAGAACGCAAAGGGAGGCGTCGGAAGGGGGTTTAAAACATGTTGGCTGCGTGCGCAAACAGGAGAAGACATGTTTCTGTACAGCTGGCACAACTGCCAGGTGATCAGCCGCCTCGCGTAAACAGGTCAGCTGCACACCACCCTCGAAGGCACCTCGACTCTACTCTAGGACCACCCGAGGTCGACACCGATATTGGGGGGGGGCCAGGAGAAGGCGGTGGATGGCGAGGACGAGAACAACATAAGTATGAGGGGGGCGAGGAGGAGGATAGGGAGGAGGAGGAGGAGGAAGACGAGGACGACGACAGCGAGGAAAAACACGAACACGAGGAAAAGGAACAGGAACACGAGGACGACGACAGCGACGAACGAAAGCACTGGGGAAAGAAGGGCAGGTCGCCGTCGACGTCGCACGGTGGCATAAGCACGAACCTGCGCTCCTACGCGATAGCTCGCAACGGAAAATGACGTGACCTGCAAGACCCAAGTGCCCATGTTAGGTCCTGCGCGGTCATTCCATACTGCACTATGTTTTGTTCTAGTTCGCGGCAGGGGTATCCCAGAATAGCGTCTTATCTATACGCGAAACGTAGGCAATTGCAAACCGGCGTTACATGAACCTCCTCCCCCTCCACCTTGTACTTTTCTACAAAGACGGATACGAAGTTTATTGCCACGCCCACTACAACTACTACTGCGCCTAGGATTGCACTGTGTGCATACTACTACTACTACTACTACTGCTGCTGCTGCTGCTGCTGCTACTGCTACTACTACTACTACTACTATTACTACTACTACTACTACGACTACGACTACGACTACGACTACGACTACTACTACTACGACTACGACTACGACTACGACTACTACTACTACTACTACTACTACTACTACTACTACTACTACCTACTACTACTACTACTACTACTACTACTACTACTACTACTACTACTACTACTACTACCACTTACTACTACTACTTATACTACTTATACTATTACTACTACTACTAGTAGTTTACTATTACTCGTACTAGTACTACTACTACTACTACTACTACTACTACTACTACTACTACTACTATTATTACTACTACTACTACTAATACTATCACTACTACTACTATTACTATCACTACTACTACTACTACTACTACTACTACTACTACTACTACTACTACTACTACTACTACTACTACTACTTCTACTACTACTAGTACTACTACTACTGCCACTACTACTACTATCTTTATTACTACTTATACATACTACTACTACTACTACTACTACTACTACTACTACTACTACTACTACTACTACTACTACTACTACTACTACTTACTACAACTACGCGACGCGCGACGACGATATTACTTACTACTACTACTACTACTACCAATACTACTACTAGTCTAATACTAATACTCCTGTACTAGTCCAGTACTATACTACTACTTACTAACTATACATCTACTTTACTTACTATATACTACTACTATTCTACTTATACAAGCTCGTTCAAAAAATAAACAGAAACGCAGTATGGTAAGCACAACGCTCGATCTTCTCGGGCACTCGCTAGAAATTGCGTTCTTCAATGCTGCGGAGGGGTCGTCGGATTTTTGAAGCCCTTGCGTCCACGTCAGATATCTAGCGTCAGCATTGGAGTAGCGCTGGCCATACAATCACCGAAACAGAATCCCCCAGCTTATTGTTGACGAGGGTTGTTCGCTTATAGGCTTCTATGCCGCTTTCTTTCGCTAATGCGCAGCACGTGTCCGTCCGCTCGGCTGGATAAGTAGTTTGCGTTTAGCGACTAGCTTGCCGCCGCCCAGACAGCCGCCCACCCCTTGTTGCGCGGCGCTGAACTGAACAGATTCGGGGGGACGAGACAGATAAATCATCGGCATCGTCGTCTGCGCCATCGACACCTCAGCCATCGACGCCACAATCACCTGGTGCAAGATAGCGGGTAGACGTTCCAATGTTATGGAAGTTCGTGCGTCTGGGAGCTTTCGCGCGATTCTCGGCGTCCGCTGTAGCGTAACAATTAGCAAATCGCTAGGTCGACAACGCGGAAGACTGCATAGGTCGTTGAATCGGATACGGCACAGCTAGGGAGAAGGAGTTCGTGCAAAATCACGGGTAGACGTTCCAATCTTATGGGAATTCTTGCGTCTGGGAGCTTTCGCACGATTCTCGGCGTCCGCGGCAGCGTAACAGTAGCAAATCGCTAGGTCAACAACGCGGAAGACGCGTTTAGGCCGTTGCGTCGGAACCGGCGCAGCTAAGGAGGAAGGGGCGGTGCAAAATCACAGGTAGACGTTCCAATGTTATGGAAATTCGCGCGGCTGGGAGTTTTCGCGCCGCCGCCGCCCAAAGGAGGGCTGTTACAAAAGATGATGCGCGGCGGACACTGCAGTCACTTCGACGTATTATTTTACAACAACTACCCACCCTTGCCCACCAGAGTGTATTTTTTGCAAAAGATTATGGCCGGGTAGTTGTTGGTACTAACCAACAAATACCCGACCGCCGCCCACTCGGGTTGCATTTTTATATAGTACGGCGGTCACCGACGTCACTTCGACCTATTATTTGTACAACAACTACCCACCCATGTCCACCGGAGTGTATTTTTTGTCACGTACGATTGCCGGGTACTTGGGTAGTTGCAAATTTTTAAAAGAAACGAAAAGGGGGGCATTTGATCCTTTTAGAAAAATGCAACTACCCAAGTACCCGGCAATAATCAGTAACAAAAAATACACTCCGGTGGACATGGGTGGGTAGTTGTTGTACAAATAGTATGTCGAAGTGACGTCGGTGACCGCCGCGCTATATAAAAATGCAATCCGAGTGGGCGGCGGCCGGGTAGTTGTTGGTTAGTACCAACAACTACCCGGCCATAATCTTTTGCCAAAAATGCACTCTGGTGGGCAAGGGTGGGTAGTTGTTGTACAAATAGTATGCCGAAGTTACTACGGTGTTCGCCGCGCTGCATCAAAGCGCATGCCGAGTGGGCGGCCCCCAGGTTGCCGCGGGGGGGTCCAGGGGCGGCTGCCAGGTTGCCGCGGGGGGGTCCAGAAGCATATCTCCTTGATAGGACCAAGTAGATGGGTGCCTCCCCCCCGCCGTCGGCCGCGCCGCCGCCGCCGGCCCCGCGCGTCTTCCGAGGCCGCCGCGCTCGAGTTTCTTGGGTGCCGCGCGTGGCAGTTTAGCGCGATGTACATTGCACCGCGCATATGGTGCCAAGATACTATAAGAACCTATTGTTTGGGGTGAACACTGATTATTACAGCGGCCAAGCCTCGTCAAAAATAAACAGAAACGCAGATGGAAAGCACAGCGATCGATCTTCTCGGGCACTCGCTAGAACGTGCGTTCTTCAAGGCTGCGGAGGGGGTCGTCGGGCGGATTTTTGAAGCCCATGCGTCCACGTCCAGATATTCTAGCGCCAGCATTGGAGTTAGCGCTGACCAACATCACCGAAAACAGAATCCCTCCGTTTATTTTTGACGAGGGTTGTTCGCTTATAGGCTTCTAAGCCGCTTTCTCTCGCTAATGCGCAGCACGTGTCCGTCCGCTCGGCTGGATAATTAGTTTGCGTTTAGCGACTAGCTTGCCGCCGCCCAGACAGCGCCCACCCTTGATGCGCGGCGCTGAATGAACAGATTGGGGGGACGGACAGATGGCGCTCGGCATGTCGTCTGCGCCATCGGACACTTCAAGCATCGACGCCACCAATCCACCTGGTGTAAGATAGCGGGTTTAGACGTTCCCAGGTTATTGGAAGTTTGTGCGTCTGGGAGCTTTCGCGCGATTCTCGGCGTCCGCGGTGGCGCAACAGCTAGCAAATCGCTAGGTCGACAACGCGGAAGACCGTTTAGGTCGTTGAATCGGATACGGCACAGCTTGGGAGAAGGAGATCGTGCAAAATCACGGGTAGACGTTCCAATGTTATGGGAATTCTTGCGTCTGAGAGCTTTCGCACGATTTTCGGCGTCCGTGTGGCAGCTTAACGAGTACAATGCTAGTGTCAACAACCGGGAAGGACGCGATTTAGGCCGTTGCGTCGAAACCGGCGCAGTAAGGAGAAGGGCGGTTGGAAAATCACAGGTAGGACGTTCAATGTTATGGAAATTCGCGCGGCTGGGCGTTTTCGCGCCGCGCCGCCTAGGAGGGCTGTTGCAAAAGATGATTGCCGCGGCGACACTGCAGTCACTTCGACGTATTAATTGTACAACAACTACCCACCTTGCCCACCAGAGTAGTATTTTTTTGCAAAGGATTTATGGCCGGGTAGTAGTGGATCTAACCAACAACTTACCCGGCCGCCGCCCACTCGGATTGCATTTTTATATAGTACGGCGGTCACCGACGTCACTTCGACGTATTATTTGTACAACAACTACCCACCCATGTCCACCGGAGTGTATTTTTTGCCACGTATGATTGCCGGGTACTTGGGTAGTTGCAGATTTTTAAAAGAAAGGAAAAGGGGGGCCTTCTTATTCTTTTAGAGAAATGCAACTACCCAAGTACCCGGCAATAGTCCGTGCCAAAAAATACATTCCGGTGGACATGGGTGGGTAGTTGTTGTACAAATAATATGTCGAAGTGACGTCGGTGACCGCCGTACTATATCAAAATACAATCCGAGTGGGCGGCGGCCGGGTAGTTGTTGGTTAATACCAACAACTACCCGGCCATAATCCCTTGCAAAAAATACACTCTGGTGGGCAAGGGTGTGTAGTTGTTGTACAAATAATACGTCGAAGTGACTGCGGTGTTCGCCGCGCTGCATCAAAGCGCATGACGAGTGGGCGGCCCCCAGGTTGCCGCGGGGGGGTCCAGGGGCGGCTGCCAGGTTGCCGCGGGGGGGTCCAGAAGTATATCTCCCTGATAGGACCAAGAAGATCGGTGCCTGCCCCCCGCCGTCGGCCGCGCCGCCGCCGCCGGCCCCGCGCGTCTTCCGCGGCAGCCATGCTCGAGTTTCTTGGGTGCCGCGCGCGGCAGTTTAGCGCGATGTGCATTGCGCCGCGCAGATGGTGCTAAGATGATACAAGAACCTACTGTTTGGGGTCAACACTGATTTGTAAAGCGGCGATGTTCGCTTATATGGTTTCTACGCTTTCTTTCGCTAATGCGCAGCACGTGTCCTCTCGCTCGGCTGGA